TTCTCAGTGCTGCGCTTTAACCCGCTGCGCCACCAGGGAGGGCCATAAATAAATCTTAATAAAATAAATAATAAAAGTAAAAGTTATGGCTGCCATATTGTAAAAGGACCTTGCTTTATTTATGAGCATGTAAAATCATAATACTACTCCTGTTTTTAATAGTGTATTTCCCCAAATTTCTGTCCGTGAAAGCATGTGAATACTGACAAATTGTCTCAAAAAGTTGTGATGAAACAGTTGTATTTAGCAACCAATGATAAGAACTGAAATTAAGAAATTACTATTTCAGTGCCTTAAAGGGATACATAGGACATTAACTCTGTGTTTTGTAATTTCACTAGCTACTTGTCTAAGTCATAGTTATAGTCATCCTAATTACATTAAGAGTGTACTGTTGCTATTGAAAGCTGTTGTACTATTGGATATTTTAAAAGATGAATTTTATCTTTAAATCTAAATGTAGAAAACTGTAATGTTAAACTAATGGTTAAAAAAATAAAACACTTTACATTTAAATCAAACTCTAGAACTAGTACCTAGAAGTGAGAACACTGAGAGCAAGTTATGGTACTGTGTGTTATATATAACACTTTTATTTAAATGTATGTTGGTACTTATAGAAAATGTATAAGGCTACTTACTATTAAAATTTTTAGTAGGTAACTAAGTGCCAGGAAAAAAGATAAATACTCGTATTCTTGTACTTAGTCTGTTCTTACATTTCAGGTCTCAAATTATTGGAGGAAAGGAAGAAAACTGATAAAATGTAATATCAGATATATGTTGTGATAGAATTACATAATTTATAGTCATCATTATTAACAAACTTCCCATATATCACATGCCAGGAAAATTCCCTAAGAGTCTGTAATAAATCATATTCTTTCTTTGTGGATTATTGTTTTGGTTTTGGTGGATTTTGGGGGGGGGTTAAAATGTTTTTTTATGTAAAAATTGTAGTGGTTATTGATCAGTTACTTGATATTAGGATTTTTTTTCCTAAATATAGACATATTTATGTCCCCTTGGTTCCCCTCAAATGAAAACCTGAGAAAATAAAGGAAATTGTTAAGATGGAAATGACAGAGTGCTTATTTTCAATTAAGAATAGGAGCAGTAGAAAGTAATGTCATCCTTTTTTCCTTAAAGATTTTCTTGCATCTTGCATTGAATTTATCTCAAGAAAAATAGGAAACTTGTCTCTTTCTATTCTGAAATCACTAATGTTACTGTATTTCTAAAAAGCAAAATTCAAATTCTTAACAGTTTTGTATGTTCTGTAAATGTAATTCCCTGTTATTAAGTTCTGTACTCTTTGTTACCTTTTAGAACCCATTACCTCCTTCTGGTCAAGTAAAAAAATAAAAAGTATGTTCTTTTTCATCTTGTTCATATTTTTAAAATAAATTAGTTCTTGTGTTTAAAAACAAAGCACATGTTGAGGTTTTTTTTTCTTCTTCTTTTTTAAAAAATTTCCTTCCCTTTCTCACCCAGAGATAAGATTTTACATGGGATACTACATGGGAAGAAAAATCACCTTCCTTTCCTTTGCTGAGAACCCACTAGTTGGTGGCTACAATTACTGTAGTTATAGCCCTCAATTAAGTATAACATGAAATATTACCACTTTTAGTGTAGGTGAGAGCTTGTCATACAAAAAATTTCAACAAGTGACGTCTTAAAGGCATTACTACATTTCCCTAATGATTTGGCCCTATTTTACTGTTTCTTATGGAGTGAAATCATGTATGTACACAATGTACACTTAGGCAGTACTTAAAAATCTCAAAGATATTTCAGTTTAAAACTAAGGTTGGTAGAAGCTGTTAAAACATAAAAATGTTTCATCTTTCACAGTGTGAATCAGTTTCACGTCACATTGATTATGCTCTACTGAGTAGAGCAAAACAAGTGCGGGAAAGATAACTCCTGTGAGCTTTAGTTGTTGCACTCTGTAATTCTGCAGCATATTTATCTGCGTCATGTAGTATGAGAACGTAGCTTTTGAGGCTCTTTTGTGTTAACTACACGTGAGTTTATTAAGTGTCAGGTGCTTCTGACCTTTAAACTTTTTTTTCCTCTTTTGACATTCTAACTCAGGGCAGGGAGTTAGTTAGAACTGTTTGAATTGGATTATTTTGCCTCTAATTGTATCCCTTCCCGTGTATTTTCTCTTCTTTTGCCATTCTTTAAAATGGCTCTAAAATCAAGTATGTTGTATTGCACCAGGAAAAAGCAATAAAAGTAGAGTGAATTGGCAAAAGTGAGGTTTTCGTTTGTTTTCATTACTTCTACAGTAAATGCTTTTGCCTTACATGTTCAGCTAGTTCTAGTGGTTGGTAGAAGTGAAAACAAGTGTGACCTTAAGGTACACAAACAAACACATTTGTTTCAGGTAAGTGTTAGCTTTATATTAATTAAGTAGAAAGGGAATTTTTTGGTTTTCAAATATATTTTGTTTTCTGATGTCTGTCTGCTTCTGCCAGCAGCACATAGGAAATTGCTTATTAGTAAATGTAGGACTTATAATTCTTTTCCTTTTAGTTTGAAAATCAGGACTGGAAGAATAGGATCTGAGATGGTAAAGATTCTGCTAGAAAAACTGGTCAGTGAATTTAGTGGAGCTTGCTATTTAGTATTAAATTTGGATCTTTGCTTTACATGATTATTTTCTCAATTCTAAAAAGTTTCACTTATTTATTTTCATTAAGAAATCCTGAAGAATGTTTTTCTTTAACTTGATTACATGTCACACATCATTAAAGAATTTATTTTAAAGAAGCATTTAATTGATTTTCTAGTTTGTCCTATTTAAAGTGATTCTGTGTGTCTTTGTTAACAGTTACGTAAATGTTCCACATTAAAGCAGGTTAGATGTTATCATAACTTACTGACTTACTAGACTAGTTTTTGTCATTTTTTAATGTAACTCTAATCCTAAAAAAAAATTTGTTTTAGTTATCTGCCCATGACTGTCATGTAAAATATTTAATGCATTCAGCACTATAGTAACCATGTTTTAAGTACAGAAGAAGTGGTTCCACGTGCTGGCTTTTGAAAGGTATTATAAAAGTCATCGTTTATACCTATTTTGACTTGGTGCAGCATATCAGTTTTGAAAAGCCACGTGCAAGTTTGAGATTTGGAGATTGGAACGCACGTAGAAAGCATGGGGTAGCAAAATATTTAAACATTATTTTCTGATGGCCTCGATGATAGTGCTTTAAGAGTACATAAAGCTTTGAATCCCCACTATTTTTTAAACAGACTGTGAAGACTGCTGAGAAAGACTCGGAAACCAGTCACATAAGCATAATAAAGAAACATTGGTCCTCATGGAAGAAGAACAGGATTTGCCAGAGCAACCAGTAAGTACTTCTTTTAAAGGTCTAAAGTTGATTGTAGAAAAACTGACTTCAGAGATTTTAAATATCTTGTTATACTAGAATCCAAATTAGAAAAAAAAAGGAAAGGACTGCGTAATATTTTTCTTCTAAAGCAATGTTACATGTTTTTAAATTCATATTTTTCTAACTTAATGCAGAATGGTCTGCTTAGGAAAAAAAGCAAATGTACTTATAAATATCATTTTAAGAAATTGCTGCTTTTAGAAAGTAAAAAAGGATGTCTTTTTGCTAAGCATTTATACCATTTCTGCCAGAAAATTCAGTTTTCTTTTTACCTAAATTCCCTAATTGACTTAATTTTTTTAAAAAGTCAAAGAAGACAATATGATTTGACCAAAAGATAATTAATTCTTAAAAGTAAATTTAGGGACTATTTGAATTTTTAATTTCTTTAAAATTTTTAATATAAAATAAAATCATTTCCATATCTCCGGGTAATGAGGATTTACAGACTTGAGGTTTTTTTGGTTTTGTTTTTGGCCTATTATTTTGACCCATAGCATTTAAACAAAAACAATATAATCTTTCCATTAAGATACTTCTATGTATCTTAACTAACTTATCCTTAACTATAGTTAAAGGATCTTTTTTGTGTTTGTGTTTCTTTTTCTGAAATTAGGAAAACAATGATTCAGTTTGCTATTCTGAGTGAGTTTCTTGTACTTCATACTAAAATAGAATATAGTTCACATTTGCTTCTCTTTATGAAATTCCAGCCTGGATAAATTTGCAAATTGAAAACAGGTAATTGGGCTTATTTTTTATGTTCTAGTTGAATTATGTCACACAAGAATATACACCATCATTAAAATAGTTGTCTTTTATGTATTTTTAACATTTTCTTTTTGTTGAGAAATGCATGTGATGATTATTTTGTGGTTATTTTTTAGCCCTCTCACTTATGTCTAAAGCATAAACAATTGGTAAAATAGTTTTTTATAACATATGATATTTCGTACCCTATCGTACATTAATAGTGAGGGAAATGGTGGGATTAAAAATCATCCCAAAAAATATTATCCTCAGTATGTTATAGGACAGGGTGAGGACACCCAGAACCCCCAAACCTGTCTGCTCTAAATAAGTTCTGTCACCTGCTGCTATAAGACAAAACGTAAAAGGCATTTAATGGAAAGGAATTTTAATAAAATTAGTGGGCA